CTGCCGCCATCCACTCCTCAACATGACAATATGGTACAAAGCCACCAACGTTTTTCAACTGGACTTCACTTTATTCATTCCTAACAATGCTTCAATGGAAATTTCCAGAGAGTTAAAAACTACACATTGTCAATTAAAATGTTTTAAGCTAATTTATTCCAAAGCAAATGACCCATCAGCTGGTTTACTAAAAGATGATTAACCCTATCGTTGGCTTTCCCGGCCAACTTCATTCAAAACAGGGGAGAGCTCAGAGTTTGAGTTACGGGGGAGCTAAGGGGAGCCCAGCTCACTTGAAAGGGTGACGGGCTCCCCTGGAAGCCCTCAACCAGGGGGAGCCCCAAAAAAATCCTGGTTCTACTTATATTACATTATTTATGTGGACTCTCTGGGGATTCTTTTGAGCGGAGAGGATGCAGAGCGCTGATCGTTGATGCGCTCCAGGCAGCTGCGTCCTGCACACAACCACAGTAACATTCGTGTCACCACTCAAAAAAACTATAATTAACACACGATTGTTTATGTCAGCTCATATCCTCTGGTGCTTTATGTCTTTTATTTGTGCCTGATGTGCATCACTGCTGCGGACGGTTGATTGCTGATAAACAAGGGGAGACTTCACCTCACTGGCGCGGCCGGCGTGCACTCCCGCGTTTCCTGCGGTCGGTAGATCCCTTTGAACTGCTTAGTTCAAAAATAACTCATGAGGTGAAAATATAAGAAGCCAGGCAGCAGCTTTTCTGTAGGAATGAGAGGAGACGCAGGAAGATCAGAGACAGAGGACAGGAAAATAGTCGAATAAAAAACAAGAAAACAAAACAAAATATTTGAAAAGGACAATGTAGGTAGATCTATCCTACTACACATTTTTTTTACTTTCTAAAGCAATAATTTATAAGCATTTACATATTTGACACAATTCAAATCACCTTCAAAACTCAGTCCCAGGGCCGTTTCAAGGCCCTTAGGGGGCCAAGGCAAAGCTAAAGGACCCCCCCCCCCCCCCCTCCCCGGAGTTGGGGAGTGTGGCACAGCACTTGCGATCTTTACTTGGAAAACATAAATTATCACAATGTGAACAGTCACCTGCGATGTCCTGTGTACTACACAGAAACACAACAGTGGTGGTGATTTTGTAAACTCTGCTCAGTCTCTGGCTTTTTGTCAGACTCTGAATGCTGAATAACTGCATGTAGTCAGTCATCAGACAGAAAGCTCTGGAACAAGGTCAGGAGCAAAGACAGGGAAAATACCAGAAACTAAACAATTACAGGTTGCATATCGTGCTATTTTAAACCTTTGAGAGCATCTATAGGCACATCATGTGTTGAAATATTACTGTGGCACTATTGAGATGTCATTTCTAAATAGGAGTTATTTTCGTCAGCCTGAATTTATAACCAGAAAAAGAATGGTTTGTTTCAGTGAAACTCCACCAACACGCACTCCGACAAAACGTGCCTACAGGAGTGTCGTAGTATTTTTTTTCATGAAGAAATAATAAATCCACACAGTAAAATGCTCCAAAAAGTCCATTTTCCATGACATGGCCCTTTTAACTACAACAAAGGAACCAAGGAGAACAAATGAACAGGACCAGGTATAAACTGGGAGGTGAAGGAAATGACATGGGGACCAGGTGAGATGATTGCTGATGACTGATGGACATGTGTGGCTAATAAACTGACACAGGAGAATGAGGATAAAAGAAACCAAAGACAACAAGAGCACCAATTAAGGACCAAAATAATAACCATAAGGATAAACTAACTGAAGATAATGAACAAGATAACCCAGGGATCTAAGGAACACTGGGGAAGAACCCAACTAAAAGATGAAAACAAAACAAGAGAAAATAACTGGAAGCTGCAGAGTTAAAAGTAACAAAATAAAACTGAAGCAGGGGAACTGAGGGTAAAATGCTCATATAAACAAAACATGACAACTCAAGAAACCATGAACACTGAGTGGATGAGAAGAACAGGAGATATTTAAACATTAAACAGCACGGTTGGGGCCCAGATGAGGTACAATGTAAAGGAGTGGAGGATAAATCCTAAGATGGGGAAAAGAGGAGTGGCCGGAAAGATTAAAAAAATCTATGGAGACAAGAAACACAAGGACACAAGGGGGATGGAAGAGACATGGAAGGAACACCGGACATGATAAAACAATTCCTAAGTCCTGATAAAAAAAAATACACTATTGCTGAAATCGATTGTTTTTAAACTTTCACAGATCAAACAAATGTTCCTCACTTATTCCTATTTATTAAAAAAGGAAAAATGTATTTTTTACTAAATGTTATTATTATTATTATTATTATTATAGTGGTTGTTTTTTGTTGTTATCACTCTATTTAGTATTTTATCCCCATGTTTCCCATGTTTCTTGGCTGTGAAGCAACAACATTGCCTTTGTGAAGGACTCTTTACTCTGCTGCTCTCACCTGGTAATAAGCTGATAATGCACTGCAAGTGCTCACATACAAGTGAAGGTGTGTGTGTGTGTGTGTGTGTGTGTGTGTGTGTGTGTGTGTGTGTGTGTGTGTGTGTGTGTGTGCGTGCGTGCGTGCGTGCGTGTGTGTGTGCTTTGGACTTGATGGGCTATCTCACGCAGGGTGCAGATATGAATATAGTCTATTTTTGCAGAAAATGCTATCAACAGTTCCTTTAATCAGTTGAGTTTTCTGTTGGTTCTGTCCAATAAATGTACAGTTCACTCATAATATCTGAAAGTATTAATAGCCTACTATGTATTCCAGTTACACATTTGATCAAATGTCTGGTTTAGAACTTGAAAATAAAAATTCAGACTTTGAACTTGACTGAGAGTTGTGTGAAGATGGACTTCTTTGTGACTTGCAGAACAATGACTTGATCCTGCTGTCCACAGTTATAATGGGTTGTAAGAAGGTTTTTGCCCTCAGTCCAATAATGATTCAGACATCATATTCCACAAGATGTTTGCATTAATTATGTAAATAAAAATAAAAATAAAAAAACTTTACAGAACATTTCCAAATTTGATTTGTTGTTTTGTGGCACAAATCTCTCATTAAAATTTCCACTTATTTTCCTGAATAAATTTTTTTAACACACTATGGCCGTTAGAACAATTTACCTTCCTAACTTTCATTAAAACAGAAGAAAGTCAGAAAAACATCTGTTTGCCGTGGATGGAAATGAGCAATCCTCACTATCTGAGAAGCTCTGTTCCTACATTTTAGGCATTTGGGTCACATGACCTCGCCAGCAGAATGTCCAACAAAAAGAGTGAGAGGTGTGTATGTGTGTTCTTTTTCCAGCAGTGTTGGCACAGGCCAGCAGAAAATTTCTTAGAAATCACCTTTGCGTGATAATAAATCCCAGAAAACTAATTTACTGGCAGTCGTATTGTGGCGTTCCACACATCCGATTGTCAGCTTCTGAAAATTTCTTTTCATTTAAAGATCTGAAACCTGTTCATGATTGGCTCGTGCTGCCCTGCGTGCAGCCAAACGTGCTCGATGCTTGTCTAACTTCTACTTACTGAAACTGGTGCACTGTAGACTTTCCCCCCACAGTATGACTAACAATGCGTTCATTCCTACAGAGACCACTGCAAGTGTATTAATAAAGGAGTGAACCACACCTTTAAAACAAACGCTGAGGGTTCTGATCCATCAAGAGGATGTGACCTTCTTAGCTTGTCAGGAACCTGGCAAAAACTAGGGGGTGTCTTGTCTTAGACTCAGGCAAGGGGCTAAAGCTTGGTTTATGCTTGACGCATTCACTTTCCGCTTGGTGATGCGGCTCGCGGCTGGAACACGCTTCACAACTCGCAGCGTTTATGGTTCATGTGGCTTGTCTCTGCGGTGAGCCAATATTCTCCCAAACTGAAAGGGGCAGCATGGAGCTCTACAGCATGCATCCAACACTACACCATAGTAGAAGTAGAAATTGCTGTTTACAACAGCGTCCTCGTCTTTTCCGACAGTGCAAGCTATTTCTCTCCAAGAATTATTAACAACATGTTGATCACGGCGATCTTTGAGAGCAGAATCATACAAATGTCTGTGTTTACCAACCTCTGCCACACTAGTTCTTGCCGGTCCACCATGTTTTTCTGCGTCTGACCCCCCGCGTGGTTAGAAATTTTCCTAGGTGCGTGGTGCGGAAATTTTGGGCCATGCGGAGGCGCAGTGGAGGGGCGTGGTTGTTAAAATGACGCAATTTCGCCGTGCGGAGCCGTGCGGACGTGTCAAGCATAAACCAACCTTAAGAAAGGTTTGGATATGTGGGTACACTGTAAGAAATTCATTCTTGAGTTTACTTAACCAAGTTATGTCAACATGTTCCACCAAACTTGGTTGCTTTAAATGTAAAAAAATACTACACATTTACTTTTATCACAACAATATAACAACAATGATTTTTACTTTTTACATTAAAGCAACTGGGTTTAGTGGAACAAGTTGACACAACTTGGTTCAGTTAATTCAACACTTTATTTCTTAGAGTGTCCCAGCCTTGTTTTTACAAACATCTGATATCACAAGAAGCACTGATAACATGACAATTAACAACAAACCTCAGAGTTTCACCCATTCTGGAGGTGCTCGGCTGACTTGGTGTTAAAACGAGGGGTAAGTTGAAATAAAACAGTCACATTCTTCATTGATTCAGTAATTTGCTTTTGTCTAACGCTACTTCTACGCATGTGAAGCCTTTTCTCCTTGCCTTGTGTGAGTCTCATCATAAACACAGATCATGCTTGAACGATTATAGTTGAAGTTTTGGACGATTGCAGCTTTTCCTGTTTCTCATTTTACACATTTTTCACTATATAAACTTCAGAAACAAGCTGATTTAGGTCAAAACAAGTATTAAAAAAATTAATGCACAATAAACTTCATAATAAGTCAGTGAAATACAATTTGTATTCTTCCTTGCAGGATAAAGCTCCAGTTTTAGTCAACAAGCTATAACCAAGTGAAAAACCAGCCTGTAGAGCTCCAACTACAAAACCAAAATGCAAAAAATGAAGATCAAATATGGAATAATCTTCATCTGCATTATGGCCGTGCTCCTCATTGAAAAAGAAAGTAGTATCCTCTCGAGGTAAGAGAATGAAAAATTGCATGCAACCTCATTTTCTATTTATTTTAACTATCTCACTTCCCTTTTTAATTTTAAATGAAATTAAAGTGTTTAGTTTCATTCTTTCACCTTCAGGTTATTATGTTTTGCCAAAGTGGATGCCTGCATGATTGCAAATGAATCAGAAATGTAACAAATGTGCATTATCAGTTTTCCTGAAGTGTGCCACTGCTGATAACAGATACACTGTAAAAGCCAATGTCAAAATGTTCCAGATATTTTTTCCTCAGGGCCAGATTGTCTGCCAACATCATGACAACATTTTTTATCTGTGAAGATAGGTATCTATCATGAGTAAGCCTGTGTGTGCAAACTTCTGGTAAACATACCTGATCTGTGACAAATCTAGCTCGACGTTTGTTGCCAGTACCATTTGACCTTTAGGCTTACCTATCCATTACACAACGCCGGATTAACCATATGGGCAATTGGGCAATTGCCCAGGGCCCACGAACTCTAAAGGGCCCAGGGCAGCAAGGGCACGAGCAAAATACTGTAGGCATATCTGTAATCTCCCGCTTTATATTAAACTAGGGTGACCGTACGTCCGGTTTTCCCCGGGTCATGTCGACTTTTCACTCTCTGTCCGGGCGTCCGGACTGGGGGTTCTTGTATTGATGAAAATGTCCGGCTTTTCATCCAGGAGCAGGGATCGAATTATGGGGGAGCTGTATAATAAGTCCAGGGGAGCCGGAAAAAGTTTTCTACCTATGTTACATCATTTATGGACTCTTTAGAGCAGAGAGCACAGAGAGCGGCACAGCGCTGCGTTGTTGCGCAGTGATCCAGGCTGCTGCTTCCAGCGCACGGTCCATTCTCAAAGTGGCGCAACCAAAAAACTATAATTAGCACACGATCGTTCATGTCCACACATGTTCTCTATTTTCTGTCTTATTTGTGCCTGAAGCGCTCTGCTACTGCGGAGCTCATCACCTGTGCTGCGCGGTGCTGCGGTGATTTCACCTCACTGACGCAGCATCAAAATGCACTCTCCGCTTTTCGGTCAGGAGATCCCTTTGATCTGCTCAGAAGTAACTGATGAGGTGAAAAAGTAAGAATCCAGGCAGCAGTTTTTCTGGAGAGTTTAGAGCAGATGCAGGAAGATGAGAGACATACAGGACAGGAAAATAGTTAAATAAAAACAAGAAAACAAAACAAAGTGTTGAAAAGTAAAATGAAGGTAGATTTATCTCCACTACACGTTTTACCTGTATAAAACAATAAGTTCTACACATGTCATATTTATACATCTGATACAATTCAGATCACCTTCAAAACTCAGTCACACACCCAGGGCCGTTTCAAGACATTTTGGGGGCCAAGGCAAAATGCCCCCCCCCCCCAGTGACAACTTCTTTTTTCATTGATCCTATCGTCTAATCTCACAGCTGAAACAAGCATCCTTAATAATCTGTGCACAGGAAGCTTACCGATGCTGTAGTAAAACTAAAGGTATAATAATTTATTATTAATAAAACCTTGTTGCAGCACTAAAGCAGAAAAATGAGATTTTGCAATAAATATGCAAAAATATTTACATATGAATTATTTTAGAGCCCTTTTATTGGCAGAATCTGATATCAATTTAGTTCTTACAAAAATGGGTCCCAACGTGGTTTGTGTGGTGTTGCCATAGTGTGACATCATAGGCACAGATCCCCTGTCCTCTTGTTTGGAAATGGAAATATGGTCACCCTATATTAAACAAACTGTCCACCCGGGCTTTTACGCTGCACAGAGGCGCTTCGCTGCCTATGACTTTGAACGTCAGTTGAGAGTCAGTCTCATGCAGACTGACCAATGAGGAGAGGGCCTCAAGTTAAGACCCTCTCCTCATTGGTCAGTCTACACAAGGTGGGTCAAAGGTTACCCTGAGCGGGTTACTGATGTCAGGCATTCAAGTATTGAGTATATTTACTGCATATTACAGTAATATATTCTGTATGTGACCATATTATGGCGATCCTTGGGTCGTGATGATGGGGCCCTTTAATATTGTTGCCCAAGGTACAACAAAGTGTTAATCTGGCCCTGCCATTACAGAATCAAACTTTATATTTAAATTTGTCTACAGACGCATTCAATGCTTCTCTCTAGTTGGTGGATTAAAAATAGAAACAGAGAAGGTTGAATACAAACTTTTTTTTGTGATGATTGGTTGTCAGGAAGTGACTTTTGTCAGTAATCGGCTGCTAGTAGAAGTTTAATATTAATGGTTGACATTTTTTCTGCATCTGCAACCCTGTGCTAGATATACAGAATCTGCTGCGTCTTGGCCAGATTGTGGTTGTAAATAAGAATGAGTTCTCAATCGACTCATCTGGTTAAATAAAGGTTAAATGAAATATAAAACTATCAAGGATTGTTTACAGTTTCACGGTAATCCTTCATCAACTCTCTGCTTCTTTAGGTTGTGTGATACACTGATGAGGGAGCAACGTCCACAGCAGACCCCTCAAGATGAAAGCATTACAACACAAAAAGGCTCATTGACGTTCCTCCAAGTGCTGCTCTCTAAACTATCTTATCCAAAATGGAATTACACAAATTCATCAGAGGAGCCAGAAAAAGAAGACCAGAAGGATTTAGAGACCAGAGGACATAAGCATGTGCTACTCATGGCCAGCACAAGGACAGGCTCCTCCTTTGTGGGGGAGCTTTTTAACCAGCATGGGGAGGGCATGTTCTATTTGTTTGAGCCTCTATGGCACGTTGAACGCATGCTGGCCTCAACAGCAGAGACAACCAATTGGAGAGATGCGCCAGGAATCTTCCGGGACATACTTCATGCCCTCTTCTTGTGTGATTTCTCTTCCCTTGAGAATTTCATCCTGCCTCCACCAAAGGACCACGTCACCCCCGATCTTTTTCGTAGAGAGTCTAGTTTATCCCTCTGTGAAGAGTCTGTCTGTAGTCCTGTGGACAAAGACGTTTTTCAGAGGTATATATTTTTCTTCTTTCTTTTAGCTGTCATTGAAAGAGTTCTTGATGATATCTGTGATAAACTGTGACAAGCAATAGAAAAAAAAGGTTTTGCCACAAAATGTTGTTTTGTTTTCATACATGAACTGCAGTAACCAAATTTGACCACATGGTGTCATTCTTACATCATACTCCTTTAAAATTCATGCACATCTTTGAAATACCATCAACTAACCTCATAACTTTATATTTTTTGTGTGTTAGTTATCACTGCATGACTCGTCGCTGTGGGCCGCTGAACTTGACTCTGGCAGCTCAGTCCTGCCTCTCTAAAAAGCACCATGCCATCAAGTCTGTTCGAGTGCAACTCCTGGAAACGCTTCAGCCATTGTTAGAGGATCCTCGCCTTGATGTCAGAGTCATCCAGCTGGTCCGAGATCCTCGAGCCATCTTAGCATCGCGTATGGAGGCTTTCCCGTCATTTTACCACATGTGGAAAGACTGGGCGCAGGATGGCCAGGTACCTGAAGATGATGAAGAGGTGATGAGGCTCAAAGGAAGCTGTGATGAAGTCAGGAGCTCTGTAGAGATGGGACTGAGCCAGCCTGCCTGGCTACGGGGACGCTACATGTTAGTGCGTTATGAAGATATTGCTCTGGACCCCATGCAGAAGGCGGAGGAGATGTACAAGTTTGCAGAAATACCATTTAGTTCCCAAGCTCGAGAGTGGATCCTGAAGAACACACACGCTACAGAGGAAGCCAGTAGCTACTTCTCCACTCAGAAAAACTCTTCAGAACAAGCAGAGAAGTGGAGATTCAGTATTCCCTTTACTTTGGCTCAGGTGGTACAGAAAGTGTGTGGACCAACCATGCAGTTGTTTGGATACAAATTTGTGAATGATGAAAAGACATTGATCAATAAATCTTTTAGCTTGCATGAAGATAAACAATTTAATTAATCAGAAGGTGGAAATGGCATTCAACAAATCAAAGAAGCCAAAAACCAAACTTTCTTATCAAAGCTGAAATAATTTTGTTTACCGGTCACAATAATATTCATGCTCTTACCAAGAAAATGAAATGATCTGCTTGCTGTTTTTAGATTTTTAAACAATTTTATGACTATGCTTAAGATTTAACTGAGGGGGTCATTTGAGTATGTTTTTTTTTTAAATGAACTTTTATATTTTTTAGGCACAATTCAAAACTTCTAGCATATAATTTGATTTATCCTTATATTTCTCCTTCCTTTAGTGGCAGATTAACAAATGAAAGTCTTTAATAAGCCTGGAAGTTGACAACAATTTTATTTCATGTTAGGTTAACCATTTAGGATCCAGAGAAGCTTTAAGCTGTCATCTTGTTTTTGCTCGGGTAAATAGTGAGTTGTGCTATTTTAATTCATTAGCTCGTGATAACAATGCAATCACTAATGCTAACAACGATTATGTTTATGTGCTAGGATCTACTTGTAAATAATTTATTATGCCTTTTTAAATCCAAATTTCTGGCACATTTGTTTGACTTTAATGAGGCGTAAACACCATGTTACAACACTAAGCTAATTGCTAAACACATCAGCACTCTGAAAGCTATTTGTGGTACAATTAAGTTAGGGCATATTAAAACATTATCAAACTGTTTACCTGCCACTTTTATTGCTGTTTCTAAGTAAATGTACAATAAAATGCCAGAAATAAAAACATACTTGTTAAAAAGTGATAACTGCTAACTCTAGCATTGTCTGTTTCAGCGCTTCCTGTTTTAAGCCAGAGATAACTTCTTGCAGTACGTTTAATTAAATGATGTCCTTTGTGGATCACCACTTTTGTCGTGATGTGGTGTGGGTGGCGGCGGACCATGTGTGGTGGAGCTGACCAGGAGGCAGGAATGCAGGCACGGATAACATAAAAATGGATTTAATGGCAGGAAACGGCAAGAAACAACAAGACACAACACAACAATGATCCGACGCTGACACATACAAGACGGGAGGTATAAATACACAGGGAAACAATCAGGAACACATGGGCAGGTTAACAAGGGGCAGGTGAGATCAATAAAAACTAATCAGGGGTAGGAGAGAGTAGGAGTAAGAGGGAGGTAGGAACAGATCGTGACAGTACCCACCCCTTAAGGGGCGGATACCAGACGCCCACAAGAACCACATACTCTGAAGACACAGGGACTCAGGAGACTCGTGACGCAGACTCGGGAAACCCTGGAGACTCAGGAAACTCGGGGACACACTGGATACTAGGGAAACTCGGGGAAACACAGGAGACTCGGGAGAAACTTGGACTCTGGGACTCGGGAACTTGGACTCTGGAACTCGGACTTGGGAACTCGGGAACTTGAACTCTGGAACTTGGACTCGGGAACTTGGACACTGGAACTCGGGAACTTGGACACTGGAACTCGGGAACGAAGACACCGGAACTCGGGAACGAAGACACCGGAACTCGGGAACGAAGACACCGGAACTCGGGAACAAAGACACCGGAACTCGGGAACGAAGACACCGGAACTCGGGAACAAAGACACCGGAACTCGGGAACGAAGACACCGGAACTCGGGAACGAAGACACCGGAACTCGGGAACAAAGACACCGGAACTCGGGAACGAAGACACTGGAACTCGGGAATGAAGATACCGGAACTCGGGAACGAAGATACTGGAACTCGGGAACAAAAACACTGGAATTCGGGAACGAAGACACCGGAACTCGGGAATGAAGATATTGGAACTTGGGAACGAAGATACTGGAGCTCGGGAACGAAGATACTGGAACTCGGGAACGAAGATACTGGAACTCTGCAGCAGCAGGCGCAAGACTCTGAAGAGGCTGCAGTGCGAGACTCTGAAGAGGCTGCAGTGCGAGACTCTGAAGAGGCTGCAGTGCGGGGCTCCGAAGAGGCTGCAGCGCGGGGCTCCGAAGAGACTGCAGCACGGGGCTCCGAAGAGGCTGCAGCAGCGGGACTCCATAGAGGCTGCAGCAGCTCCGTAGAGGCTGCAGCAGCAGGACTCCATAGAGGCTGCAGCAGCGGGATTCTGTAGACGTAGGTCCCGCAGGCGTGGACCAGGAAGTTGAAGAACTGAAGGCAGCGACGCGAGGAAACCAGGAACGGCGGCAGGTACTCGACAACGGTCAGAGCAGGTGCACATCACGATCTGCTGGGTCGCAGGCAGAGGCTTGGGTGAAGGGAAGCAGAAGAGGAGCGGGGAGACCGGCCCTACCACCCCGGAGAATGTTGGCGTGCATAGGGGGTGGAACTCCATCAAAACTCCAGGATCTGCAGCTTCCGTGGAAAAAACAGGACGGGGCAAAAAACAGGAGAGGAGAATGGGCTCGACCACCCCAAGAACTGGTAGGATGCATCAAACCCCCCTCAATGGATTCGACCACCCCGAAAACAGGTAGGATGTGTCAAGCCCCTTGAGTCGAAATCTCCTTCAGCTAAACAGAGAAAAAGCAAAAAAAAAAAAAAAAAAAAAAAAAGTAATCCTCCAGGCAGATGTTTAGAGCTCACCACAAGTCCAGGTTGGTCGGATCATTCTGTTGTGATGTGGTGTGGGTGGCGGCGGACCATGTGTGGTGGAGCTGACCAGGAGAATGCAGGCACGGATAACATAAAAATGGATTTAATGGCAGGATACGGCAGGAAACAACAAGACACAACGCAACAATGATCCGACGCTGACATATACAAGACGGGAGGTATAAATACACAGGGAAACAATCAGGAACACATGGGCAGGTTAACAAGGGGCAGGTGAGACCAATAAAAACTAATCAGGGGCAGGAGAGAGTAGGAGTAAGAGGGAGGGAGGAGCAGATCGTGACAACTTTAGGGACATGAAAAAATGTTTGTCTTGGTCCCGATTAGAGAGTTTGTAAACACCGTAGACGGCACAGAATTTGGGCCTTTTGATGCTCAATAAACAGAGTAAATAAGGTTCTGTGGAGCGACGGCTACTTCCTGACCCCCAACTGCATTTGGTGACGTGGAAGCTTAGTCATGTAAAGCTAACCACCGTGTACCACTGTGTACGTGACTCAATGGCAGCACTACATTCACCAGATTTACCCTCTTTGCCCAAAGCACCTTTGAGAAACGCCCATAAATAGAGGTAGAAGAGCAGATTGGTAACCCTTTGTTCTCACTGTTTGCGTATAGCTTAAGAAATAACTTCTAAACTAGAATGTTTGCGCCTTCTAAGTAAGATGCTATGGTCTACAGAGTCAAAGGCTTTAGCCAAGTCAACAAACATGGCCACATACCATTACTTACTGTCAATGGCACATATGATGTCATTTAACACTTAGAGTGTTGCAGAGATATACAGGTGCTGGCCAGTAAATTAGAATATCATCAAAAGGTTGAAAATATTTCAGTAATTCCATTCAAAACGTGAAACTTGTACATTATATTCATGCAATGCACACAGACCAATGTATTTCCAATGTTCATTACATTTAAATTTGATATTCATAAGTGACAACTAATGAAAACTCCAAATTTGGTATCTCAAAAAATTAGAATATTCTGAAAAGGCTGAATATAGAAGACACCTGCTGCCACTCTAATCAGCTGATTTACTCAAAACACCTGCAAAGGCCTTTAAAAGGTCCCTCAGTCTTGTTTTGAAGGCACCACAATCATGGGGAAGACTTCTGACTTAACAGCTGTCCAAAAGACAATCATTGACACCTTGCACAAGGAGGGCAAGACACAAAAGGTGATTGCTAAAGAAGCTGGCTGTTCGCAGAACTCTGTGTCCAAGCACATTAACAGACAGGCGAAGGGACGGAAAAAATGTGGTAGAAAAAAGTGTACAAGCTCTAGGGATAACCGCACCCTGCAGAGAATTGTGACGACAAACCCATTCAAAAATGTGGGGGAGATCCACAAAGAGTGGACTGCAGCTGGAGTCAGCGCTTCAAGAACCACCACGAGGAGACTCATGAAAGACATGGGATTCAGGTGTCGCATTCCGTGTGTCAAGCCACTCTTGAACAAGAAACAGCGCAAGAAGCGTCTCGCCTGGGCCAAGGACAAAAAGGACTGGACTGATGCTGAGTGGTCCAAAGTTATGTTTTCTGATGAAAGCAAGTTCTGCATTTCCTTTGGAAATCAAGGACCCAGAGTCTGGAGGAAGAGCGGAGAAGCACAGAATCCACGTTGCATGAGGTCCAGTGTAAAGTTTCCACCGTCAGTGATGGTGTGGGGTGCCATGTCATTTGCCGGTGTTGGCCCACTCTGTTTCCTGAGGTCCAGGGTCAATGCAGCCGTCTACCAGGAAGTTTTAGAGCACTTCATGCTTCCTGCTGCTGACCAACTTTATGGGGATGCAGACTTCACCTTTCAACAGGACTTGGCACCTGCACACAGTGCCAAAACCACCAGCACCTGGTTCAAGGACCATGGTATCCCTGTCCTTGATTGGCCAGCAAACTCGCCTGACCTTAACCCCATAGAAAATCTATGGGGTATTGTGAAGCGGAGGATGCAATACGCTAGACCCAACAATGCAGAGGAGCTGAAGACGACTATCAGAGCAACCTGGGCTCTCATAACACCTGAGCAGTGCCACAGACTGATCGAGTCCATGCCACGCCGCATTACTGCAGTTATTGAGGCAAAAGGAGCCCCGACTAAGTATTGAGTGCTATACATGCACATTCTTTTCATGTTCATTCTTTTCAGTTGGCCAACATTAGAGAAACAAACATTTTTTCATTGGCCTTTAGAATATTCTAATTTTCTGAGATACCAGATTTGATGTTTTCATTGGTTGTCACCTATAAATATCAAAATTAAACGTAATAAACATCGGAAATACATTGGTCTGTGTGCATTGCATGAATATAATGTACAAGTTTCACGTTTTGAATGGAATTACTGAAATATTTTCAACCTTTTGATGATATTCTAATTTACTGGCCAGCACCTGTATCCATGGCCAGTTCTGAAGCCAGAATAGGGGTCAAAATACTGCTGGATTCCAGATGGGGAGCTAGCGGTTTGTTGACTTAAGCTGGGTGAACACTGTACAACTCTTTCACCTTTTTGAGCCGATTTTGTCCTCGTGTGAGAAGCTACGAGATCGGGGTGAGTTTTGCACAGAGTGTCGTGTTGTATACAGCTGGTTACGAGAGGTGGTTAACGCCACGTGGACAGCAATCGTAACCTCACACAAATTAACGGCGTGTTTGATATTTTGCTTGTTCCTCGTGAGGGTATCACACTGTTGAAGCGGCGCTGCAACCCAAAAAGTACCAGAATCACTCATGGCGCATACGCAGATGTGCGTAATGTGTCATTTATTTTTATTTAAACACTTTTTTCACACAAAATGACAAGGATTGTCAAGAAAATATGTTTGCCGTGTCAATTTAAACTGATCACAAAACATTTATTTACTTTTTTCTTTCGTCTTCCTCCTCCAACCCCCATAAATCCGTGTGCGTCCTCCTACAACAATCCCAAGGGACAACAGACATCAATAACAACACAATAAAAAGTCAGACATGTTGTGTAAAAACAGCTATTTTTAGCATATTCTTGGTCTGACATGTTGCTACCAGACGTGTGAGGAGTCAGGTCGCATCTGAGAACTGGGTCGTATAGTGTGAGAACATGACTCGTGAGATTTGCTCTGCGAGGATGTCGGACAATTTGAAATGGAGCTGAATCTTACGAGTAAAAAATTTGTAGTGTCCACCTGGCTTAACTTTTCAATGACTTTGGAGAGGCAAGGCACAATAGAGATAGGCCTAACAGCTTAGATCCAATGATGTCCCCTTTTCAAACGTGGAGTAACAGATGCAAATTTCCAGTCCTGCAGAAATGCATCAGTGTGTAGGGACAGATTATGAGTAATAGGTGCTGCAATAACATGCATACTCATGTTGCAGGAATCACAAAATACTTGGGACTTGATAGGATATCACACAGGGTGAATATGCAGTATAAACATAGTCTATCTTTACTGAAAATGAAATATCAGCAGTACGTAGTTGTTTTTGCTACTGTTCTGTTCAATAAATGTACAATTCACTCATTATATCTGAGAGTATTAATAGGTTACTGTATAATTTAGTTACAGTTTTTTTTATCAAAAGTCTTAACTTAAAATTACAACCTGACTGGAGACTTGAGTGAAAACACTTGAGAATTCTTTATGACTTGCAGATGAATGACTTGAACCCTGTTCTGTCTATCCACAGTTGTGAAGAAAAGATGGGTTTATTATAATGAATTTTGACCTCAGCAGTTGTACACTGCAGTCCAACAAGGACTCAGACATCATTCCACGTGATGTTTGCATTTATTCTGTAAATTAAAGCAAAAAGCTTAATGGAACATGTTCCAGTTAAATATTTTGTGGCACAAGTCTCTCATTAATGTGTTTCACTTATTTCCCCGAACTGAAAAATATAACACTCTGCTGGGACTTAAAAAAAGATAAAAAGAAAGAAGAAAATCTGTTTGCCTTGGATGCAAACGAGCCATCCTCACTAGAGGCTCTGTTCCTAAATTTTAGGCAGTTGGGCCACGTGATCTCACCAGCAGGATGTCCCGCAATAAGAGTGACCAGTGTGTGTGTGTGTGTGTGTGTGTGTGTGTGTGTTTGGGGGGTGGGGGTGGGGGGGCGGTCTGCAGCTTGAGCGCAACTTTTTCCTGCAGCGTTGGCACAAGAGACGGTAAAAAAAAAAGTTCTGAGGAAACACGTCTGCGCGCGATAATAAATCACAGAAAACTAATTTATAGGCAGCATTTGCCTCACTACGGCGTTCCACACATCCAGTCCTCAGTTACTCTACTTTTCTTTTCTTGTAGATTAGATATCTGAAATCTGTTCATCACGTTGGCTCGTGCTGCCGCGCGTGCAGACCCGATGTCTGCGCACCCCGTCGGTGCCTCCGCGCCGCACCCGGACGAGGAGAGCAGGAGCCGCAGCACGAGTCCGGGGGCACAGTAGGCTGTGTCTCGGTCCGGACACAATGCGTGGAGATGCGACACGGAGACGGGATTCTCACGCGATCGAGAATCGACAGAACAACTGCAGGTTTGCTTCATCCTCCACCTGAACGCAGAGAAGCAGCGTGAAGCAACGCGGGTAGAGTAAAAACACGTGTGCGATTTGTGGAGAAAACATGATGCACATGGACAAAATGCATGACTTTTGCTGCACGATTCAGTTTTTAAATGACTATAATTTCACTTTCACCAGCTCTCTCTCTCTCTCTCTCTCTCTCTCTCTCTCTCTCTCTCTCTCTCTCTCTCTCACTTCTGCGCACTAATTATGAATAATACTAGAAAGTAGCCATGCATTTACTCAGATTCAGTGAATGGTTGAAATAATACTGAACTGGGAGCCCCATCCCCCTCTTAACGGCTGCATGATAATGAAAGCAACCACACACAGACAGAGCACTCACATGGGGGGTCAGCAGCAGTGGCAAACGACCTCCAAAAAAGAAAAAGAAAAAACAATAATCGGAACTAACATATTTGCTCCTGTTTCACAAGAACATCCTATAGGATGACAAGACCATCAGATTAAATCCCACCATCACCCTGAGATGCTCCTGCTCCCCTGGCTTTGAAGAGAGCTATTAATGTCATTTGTAGTGAGATCATAAACAGAGTGATGTGTGTTTCTGCCTGACTAGATTGTCAGATTTGCCTAACGCTTCAGTGACTATTGAATATGTAGAAATGCTCAACTCAACCACTTTAATCTGACAGTTCGGAGGCTGTGGCGAATTAGGCTGAGAGAATTAGGTGGCAGAGACGCCACTGGAAAATGGTGTATTATACTGATTAAGTATCTTGTACGTGAAACATCACTTGCACGTCTGTACATTTGTTTTATTTTAGAATGTAAAAAGTGGAGTTCATTGCCAACCAAATGTACTAGTAAATGTTTTTATGTAAAGTAAAAAAGAAGTTAAAATGTGTTCTAGAGGTTTTCAGGGAAGTAACTTGATATTTATTAGCCCTACCCTTTTTCTTGGAGTGGATTTGAGACACTCCCAGACCATGGGAAAGTCACAAATTCAGCAATTTGATTTGATTATGAAATGCAACATGTTGAGACTTAACTGTGACTTTGTTGAGTTTATTTTGAACGTTTCTTGAATTAACTTAACCAAGTCATGTCAACTGCTTCCACTTAGTTGCTTAAACGTAAAGAGTAATATATATTTACTTTTTACCATAACAGCAATGTAAATTACTCTTTACAGTTAAGCAAATGGGTCTAGTGGAACCAGTTGACAAAACTTGGTCAAGTTAATGCAACGTTTTATTTCTTAGAGTGTCCCAGCCTTGTTTTTACAAACAGCTGATGTCACAAGAAGCACCGAAAACATGACAAAATCTCAATTCAATAACAAACCTCAGAGTTTGGCTGTTTTTGAAGGCACTCGGCTGACTTGGTGTTAAAACGAGGGCTAAGTTGAAATAAAACAGTCACATTCTTCATTGATTCAGTAATTTGCTTTCGTCTAACGCTACTTCTACACATGTGAAGCCTTTTCTCCTTGCCTTGTGTGAGTCTCATCATAAACACAGATCATGCTTAAACAGTTATAGTTGAAGTTTTGGATGATTGCAGCTTTTCCTGTTTCACTATTACCACATAAAACAATCAGATTTAGGTCTGACACTTCCTTTAAAAGGCTTTTTATGCACAATAAACTTAATAATAAGTCAGTGAAATACAATTTGTATTCTTCCTTGCAGGATAAAGCTCCAGTTTTAGTCAACAAGCTATAACCAAGTGAAAAACCAGCCTGTAGAGCTCCAACTACAACGCCAAAACCTAAAAAATGAAGATCAAATATGGAATAATCTTCATCTGCATTATAGCCGTGCTCCTCATTGAAAAAGAAAGTAGTATCCTCTCGAGGTAAGAGAACGAAAAATTGTATGCAACCTAATTTTCTACTTTTTTTTTCTAAAACTATCTCCCTTTTCCTTTTCATTTTCATTTTCCGTAAAGTTCCATAAAATTAAAGTGTTTAGTTTCATGCTTTCACCTTCAGGTTATTATGTTTTGCCAAAGTGGATGCCTGCATGATTGCAAATGAATCAGAAATGTAACAAATGTGCATTATCAGTTTTCCTGAAGTGTGCCACTGCTGATAACAGATACACTGTAAAAGCCAATGTCAAAATGTTCCAGATATTTTTTCCTCAGGGCCAGATTGTCTGCCAACATCATGACAACATTTTTTATCTGTGAAGATAGGTATCTATCATGAGTAAGCCTGTGTGTGCAAACTTCTGGTAAACATACCTGATCTGTGACAAATCTAGCTCGACGTTTGTTGCCAGTACCATTTGACCTTTATGTAGGCTAATATCCACTACAGAATCATACTTTATATTTAAATTTGCCTACAGACGCATTCAATGCTTCTCTCTAGTTGGTGGGTTAAAAGTAGTAACAGAGAAGGTTGAATACAAACTTTTTTTTGTGATGATTGGTTATCAGGAAGTGACTTTTTGTCAGTAATCGGCTGCTAGTAGAAGTTTAATACTAATGGTTGACATTTTTTCTGCATCTGCAACCCTGTGCTAGATTTACAGTGTAAAATATAAAACCTATAAAGGTTTGTTTACAGTTTCACGGTAATCCTTCATCAACTCTGCTTCTTTAGGTTGTGTGATACACTGATGAGGAAGCAACGTCCACAGCAGACCCCTCAAGATGAAAGCATTACAACACAAAAAGGCTCATTGACGTTCCTCCAAGTGCTGCTCTCTAAACTATCTTATCCAAAATGGAATTACACAAATTCATCAGAGGAGCCAGAAAAAGAAGACCAGAAGGATTTAGAGACCAGAGGACATAAGCATGTGCTACTCATGGCCAGCACAAGGACAGGCTCCTCCTTTGTGGGGGAGCTTTTTAACCAGCATGGGGAGGGCATGTTCTATTTGTTTGAGCCTCTATGGCACGTTGAACGTATGCTGGCCTCAACAGCAGAGACAACCAATGGGACAGACGTGCCAGGAATCTTCCGGGATGTACTTCATGCCCTCTTCTTGTGTGATTTCTCTTCCCTTGAGAATTTCATCCTGCCTCCACCAAAGGACCACGTCACCCCCGATCTTTTTCGTAGAGAGTCTAGTTTATCCCTCTGTGAAGAGTCTGTCTGTAGTCCTGTGGACAAAGACGTTTTTCAGAGGTATATCTTTTTTTTCTTTCTTCTAGCTGTTATTGAAAGAGTTCTTGATGATATCTGGAAAAGAAAAAAGTTCACCAGTTTCTAAATTTTGAGGTGTGGAACACTTTGAATCAATTTTTAAGCTTATCTCTGATTAAAAATTGTCACTCTGAGTTTTTCATGAAGGCTGAACATGAAAACAGTCTCCTACATCTATCTGCTTCATTAGCTTCTAGAAAATAGACTTAACATTCATGAACTCATCCATTTTTACTCACGACGGGGAAGGCTGTTGTTATTTTATCGTCCAGAAAACAGCAGAGAATGTCTCAGCTAGTACAAGCTAACCATTAGCATTAGCAACTCCAACACTTGACAAAGGCTCCTCCAGGCTTGTTTTACAGTGGGATGTGAAAGTTTGGGCAGCCTTGTTAATCTTCATGATTTTCCTGTGCAGGGGCGGCGTTAGGCCCGGCTACTTGGGCTCAAGCCCCGAATGTTTTATGAAAAGCCCCGGATCTAAAACGTGGAAGTAACATGCAGTACCAAAGTCCAACAGAGAGGGAGCAGCTGGCAGTAGTTTGTATACAGCCTGCCTGAGCCTCCACCACTGAAGAAGAAGCCCTTCAGCAGCCGGCACCTTCTGCAATGCCTGGCTTCTTCTACACTCTGCCTGAAACGCATGTGTGAAGATGGACATAAGGACGTTTTTTAGACAAATAGTACCGCAACATAACCCCAGCTTTGATGAGACTGGTGCTGACTCAGGTTTGTGAGTCTTATTTGAAAATATTTGTTGTGCTGCTGGTTTGCCTAAAGTTAGCTTACTATCAGGTAAAGTTGATGGAGAAAGAAAGGGAATATTTACTATCATCTCACACTAAACACCAACAGGAACAATACTCTGCCCTGAATATGCTTAATATGTAGCTTTAGATTAAAAATTATGTGGTACAAGACAAATATATATGATGTTGACCCGTGTGTGTGTGTGTGTGTGTGTGTGTGTGTGTGTGTGTGTGTGTGTGTGTGTGTGTGTGTGTGTGTGTGTGTGTGTGTGTGTGTGTGTGCGCGCGCGAGCATGTGTGCGTGTGCTAAGCCCCAGATCTTCTTCAGTCCTAAATCCGCCCCTGTTCCTGTGTAAATCGTTGGTTGTTACAATAAAACATTTCAGTTGAATATAAAATAGGAGACACACACATTGATATTTGAGAAGTAAATCAAAGTTCATAGGATTTACAGAAAGTGTGTGATAATTAGGCAGGTTTATAACTTTGGGCACTGTTGTCATTTTATTGATTCCAAACACTTTAGAACTAATTATTGAAACTTAAAATCGGTTTGGTAAACTTGGTGACCCTTGACCTCCATACACAGGTGGATCCAGTGATGAGAAGGAGTATTTAAAGTGGTTAATTGTAAGTTTCCTTCCTCTCTGAATATTCTCTGACGAGTAGCAACATGGAGTTCTCAAGACAACTTTCACATGACCTGAAAACAAAGAAGGATACAGAGTCTCAGCAGGTACAAGTCTGCGACACCACAGCTGAGCTTCAGACGGCAGAATTTGGAGTCTTATTTCCTGAATCCTGATATCTGGAAATCTTGTCCCAGATTAGATAACAGCAACGCTACTCTACCACTCTACCACTCTACCTCTGCCGTGAACTGAAGTTGCTAATGCTAACAGTTAGCTTAAATTAGACGAGATATCCACTGCAGATTACTGGCCATTAAAAAAACAACAGCCTTCCCCATCATGAGTCAAGATTGGCGAGTCCATGAATGCTAATTCAAAGTGTGATGTAGATTTGTGAGGATTTTCAAATTCCAACATTTCACCGTCTATTTTCTATCAGAAGCTAATGCAGGAGATAGAAGTAAGAGACCATTCTCATGTTCAGCCTGCATGAAAAACTTAGAGTGACTGATTATAATCAGAAAAAACTTTTTAAAAATGTAAAAAAAATAAACCCACATCTTTAAAATTCACAAGTAACTAAAGTCATAACTTTTTTAATTTTTATTTATTTTATTTTTTGCGTTTTAGGTATCGATGCAAGACTCGTCGCTGTGGGCCGCTGAACTTGACTCTGGCAGCTCAGTCCTGCCTCTCTAAAAAGCACCATGCCATCAAGTCTGTTCGTGTGCGACTCCTGGAAACGCTTCAGCCATTGTTAGAGGATCCTCGCCTTGATGTCAGAGTCATCCAGCTGGTCCGAGATCCTCGAGCCATCCTAGCATCGCGCATGGCGGCTTTCTCGTCACAGTACCATATGTGGAAAAACTGGGCGCAGGATGGCCAGGTACCTGAAGACGATGAAGAGGTGATGAGGCTCAAAGGAAGCTGTAATCAAGTCAGGAGCTCTGTAGAGATGGGACTGAGCCAGCCTGCCTGGCTACGGGGACGCTACATGTTAGTGCGTTATGAAGATATTGCTCTGGACCCCATGCAGAAGGCGGAGGAGATGTACAAGTTTGCAGAAATACCATTTAGTTCCCAAGCTCGAGAGTGGATCCTGAAGAACACACACGCTACAGAGGAAGCCAGTAGCTACTTCTCCACTCAGAAGAACTCTTCAGAACAAGCAGAGAAGTGGAGATTCAGTATTCCCTTTAGTTTGGCTCAGGTGGTACAGAAAGTGTGTGGACCAACCATGCAGTTGTTTGGATACAAATTTGTGAATGATGAAAAGACATTGATCAATAAATCTTTTAGCTTGCGTGAAGATAAACAATTTAATTAATCAGAAGGTGGAAATGGCATTCAACAAATCAAAGGAGCCAAAAACCAAACTTATTCGTTGGTATGGTCACAATAACGTTCATTCTCACCAGTTATGTGTTTAATTTTACCAAATGCCAAACGGTACAAAGAAAATGAAATTATCTGTTTGCTGTTTTTACATTTTTAAAGGTGTGGAACACTGAAAAATATTTTTTTAAATCTTATTTCTTATTTTAATTCATGCAGGTTGAACATGAAAATAGTCTCCTACACCTATCTCCTGCAATTACTTCTGATATAAAATAGACTGTGAAACTCTAAGATTTGAAAAGCCTGACAGATCCACCTCACACTTTCAATTAACATTCATGGACTCACGCATCTGAACACACAACAGGGGAGGCTGTATTTGCTTTAGTGTTTAGAAAACAGCAGACAATGTCCCAACTAGTTGAAGCTAACCGTTAGTATTATGGGCCATTCCCATCTGTGCCGGGTAGAGTAGGTTGTTTACATATCTGGGTGGCCTGGTATTTTTCCGGGCCAACCAAGGCTCATTCTCAGCCCTCTTCTCGAGGGGGTCTGCTTCAGGCCGACCAGGGCCAACACACCCACTGCTGACAGCAAATTCACACCTTCCATTAGAGCAAGCCTCTGATTGGTGGGTAGAATCAGCCCACATGTACTTAAGACAAGGATGTGTGGAATCAACCAGGCCAACTGGGGCTACCCGGCCCGGGCCGACCCGGTACAAATGGGAATGGCCCATTAGCGACTTCACCAGAACTCCTTCAGGCATGTGCCAGTGTGCACCAGGGCTGCTGTGGCTGCAATGTAGCTAATCACCACCAGGGTGTGAATGTGTGTGGAAATGGGTGAATGCCTGATTTTTTTGTAAAGCACCTTGGGGGGGGGGGGGGGGGGGGATTGTCCAGGACTCTAGTAGTCGCTATGTCAACTACAAGCCAGTTACCATTTCAATGGTGGAGATGAAACATCCACCTTGCAATTCATAGGTAGAGTCGCATTGCTCTTATCCAGTCAGATGTAAGATCTCCAAAAATCAGGAAATAAGACTCCAAAATCTGCCGTCTGAAGCTCAGCTGTGATGTGGCTCACTTCTGGTTCCTGGTAATGGTGCACCAGTGCCCCCCCCCCCCCCCCCCCCCACACACACACACACCCTGAGTACGACTTAGAAGGCATTCCTGCCTACCAGAGATCCTCTTACTTAAACAAGTGTCCCACACCTTTAAACCATTTATGACTAAACTTAATATTTAATTGAGGGGGTAATTTGGGAAAACTGCAGATGGATACCAACATGAGTAAGTTGTTAAGTTAACATTTGTAATTTTAGGCACAGTTGAAAACTGACTTGATTTCTCCTGATGTCCTTTGTTTTTGACTCAGTCTCTAACTTAGGTACAGTGAGTGTGGAATGTGTATTCATGGGGAACAAGTATGTTCACAACGGGATGGTGTGTAACAAAAAATAAGAGCTTACATTCTTTCTAAGCTTTTTAATGTTAATCCTGAGCTTATACCTAAACTTTAAGGATGGAAATACAGAGTAGCATTCATCATTTCATATGAAACGAGGATTCAGTAAATATGAAACATTCCTTATGTCAGATGTGTCCATTACATTTCTAGTGTTAGCTACCATAGCAACACTTTTTCATTTCTTTTCTACCTCTAAAGTAAACAAAGTTTATATTCAATTTATTTTACAACAAATTCAGCTTTTTCTCAAAGATCCAGCTGCTGATGCCACCAAACAGCCTACCTGAGAGCTTAGATATTGGTGTTATAAATGCACATAATAGAAGTGTTTTGAACTGTTGAACAGTATTTAATTAGCAAATGTAAGTTCGCTACGAGCATCAAAAAGCTGCCTTTGGAAACTACTGTTGTGTGTCTTTTGTCTGTGTTTGCCTGATGAGGAGGACTTAAAGGGAAACAGGTGGTTTTGCATTGATGGTATCTGAAGCAAGCCACGGTATACGTGGCTCAATGGCAGCATTGTGTTCAGCTTGGCTGAGGCCCCCCGTGGAACTGTCATGCTGCTCAGGTAAAGAATTTTGCATCAGAGATTGTTTTTTAAATAGTGGTCTTAAGTTAGCTTAGTTTCTTGTAAATGCTGTGATAAATAAAATAAAAAATACAGGGTGCTGACTTGTAAAGAGTTAGCAGAAAACTGACTGTGAAAAATATAGTTTTTTTTACGCCCAGGGATCAGGTTTTGCCAAAGCAAGACTTAGTTTAATCATCAGTCTGGAAGTCCAAATCAGACTTTTTTATCTTAAGGGACACATTACTGGATGGTTTTTCCTCCAAAGTTTTAATTAATGTTCTTTGGTTTCATTATGTCAGATTTTCATATTTGGCTTAATTTAGATGCCCAAATACCAAATCCAAGGTTTTTATGACCAAGTTTGATTTAAATGACCATCGTTAGTTCTTTACCATTCAATAACCAACATCCGAGTTCTGCAGATAAAAGCAGGACTTCAGTTACAAACTGTGACCCATTTCACAACATTCTGCAAATGTTCCCATTTTTATGGATGTACTATCTGTGATGTATGTGTTATTTTTTGGTGTTGTTTTTATAAATGTACACAGTGACATGGATGGAGGGATCAGTTTAGAAAACTGGTTCTTGTGAAAAGACCAAATATTTGTCTGCTTAGCCTATTTTTGAGCTAGTTTATTTTTTGACAAAATAGAACAAACAGCCTGATTACAGATTATTCCATAACAACTAATAAATCAGAAGGATGTGAATAATCTGCTGAAGTGAGAATGACATTTATTTTATATAAATAAATGTTATTTAAGCTGTATATAAATCAGCATTTGCTTAATTTTACACATGCTTCCTCTGTAACATGATGTGTGTTGGTTTTGGAATCTGACGAGGACAATAATGTTTTGATCCATTTTTGAGTCACAGATTTTAATTAGAGTTCAAGCACTTTTATGTGTGTCAATGGTCGGGTTAACACTGTCAATAAAAAAACAAGACTTTTGAATTATTAAAAAGTAAAGAGCCAGTGTTCAGATTATACGTGCTTCTTTGTCAAATTTTGTATTGTATCGTGTTACGACAGTTTCGCTCTTGTTTACAGTATAGTAACACGCTTATTAGGCACGGTTTATTTTAAATAGGTGATAGTACTCAAAAATACAGAGCTGTAATATAATTATTAGCAAAAGCATACAGTGTTTGTCGTGATTTATTCATAAACAAGACCTTGTTTGTCATGATTCCGTGAATGACGGTAAACAATGGGATAATGGGAACGCTTGGTCACCCAGTGTAATTTTTTTACTTTTCCGGTGTTGTAATAAAACAACTTCCAGAGGTAGTGCACCTCTTCACGTAAATCAATCAATCAATCAATCAATCAATCAATCAATCAATGTTTATTTATATAGCGCTTTCCACCACCCTCAAAGGGTGGCCAAGGTGCTGGATGAAAAAAGTAACAAAGATAAAAGTAGCAAGTCATAAAAACATTAAAACAAAATAAGAACAGAGACATTTGTGAGAACAATAAAATGTAAATGAGATAAAATTCAGATAAAAGAAAATTAAAATTAAGTATTTAAAAGAAAGCTAAAAACAAAACAATAAAAAAACTGAAACAAAAAGCATTAGGACAAGGTCATCCTAAAAAATTTGTCTTCAACCCACTCTTAAAAACTGCCAGTAAACAGTCTGTGACATAGTAATTATTCTGCGCAAGCACATTTTTCCAAAGTAGCACATATCGACAAGTAGCATGGATAGTCGAAACACTGGCCCAAGGCATATGCAAATTAAGTGACTGCTTTCACCTACACCACTAGGTGGCCCCCAAGAGCACCAAGATGACATGAGAAAATAAGTTTTAATAACTTCAAATAATGCAAAATAAATCATATTTCAACAATTTATCTATTTTCTGAAGTGTCATTCAGTTTTATTTTGTAGTGCAGCATATTTTACATGTTTCAAATTTTAAGAACAAAAGATACTAAACCTAAATTTTTACAAAAAATTCAGTAAATGTCTGCTGGTGGGTCTTTCAAATAGTTAAATAATTATACCACACTTAAAGAAATAATGTGTTGCGGCTTCGTAACATATAACCATAAAAATCGGGTCTAAAATACATGGGAGCGGGACTAACTCTCTGACCGACGCCATATTAGATGCCAAGTTTCCTTCTACGGGAACTCGTGAGGACAAAACATATTTACTAATTTGTACCAAATAATACATGATAAACGTTGTTTTACAGATTTACCTCTTCACTTGTTGCCATTTGTGAAAGGATGTCTGATGTGCTTGTCATTTTCTGGAGTTTGCTCTCCTAGGGATTTTTGACCCTAATGGCCATCCGTTGGTAATGTCTTACTCGAACACAAAAATACTGCATTCTCGCCAGTGAAAATATACATAGTCAGTTTAAACAACACCCTGAATTTCATAATGCAAATTAATTAGAGCATTATTGTTTGTTTTCTGCTCTGGTAAACTTAAAATCAATATCCATAATAGCATTTGTGTGCTGTAAGCTAATTACAAAAAAAAAAAAAAAAAAAAGACACTAATGATAGTGGGGGTGTTACACAAATGTGTAGCCTAGGAATGATGAATCATCTGGTGTTGACTTGTTTGTAATGGGGGGCCCCAAAGGGAAACCTGCTCAGGGCCCCACAAAGGCTTGGGCCGGCCCTGAATAAAACAAATCTGCTGATATTCTAGTGGAATATCAAAGATTACTGAGTAAATACTCCTGCTTCCTGACTCTTGTCTCTAAACCATGACATGCAGAGAGAGAACGATGTGGATTAAAACAGGGATTAATGTGGGATTGTTTAACTGAAGGCTGTTGCCAAGGATCCCCAAAATAGTGAGAGTGAATTACAGAGAAACAAGGACCCCATTCAGGTTTGAATTCTTTCTGTGTGCTTCACATCCCAGCTGAGAGAAAGCCTCTTTAGAGCAAACAGCTGCTGGTCAAGCAGCTCATTCTGCTGATGTTATTTCCACATCAGCGCAGCAGGTGTTCCTACATCACCCAGCAGAAAAAAGCTCTCAATGAAAAGCTTTTTCAGCAAGTTTTCTTTCTTGTCCCTCGAGACGTCCTGTGGTGTACAGAATACTGCTGGCACTATGGAGTTTTGAATTTAACCGTGGGGGGTGGGGGTAAATAATTTTGTTGCACCGATGAAGGTTCTCATGTTTAATTCCCCCTTTTTTGCCCTTTCATGTGACTTGAATCTTGTACAAAACAAATGAAGTGGACAAATGTACAACCAAATGTCAACAAACCTAACTGATTCTGTTTACAATATTAGAGAAAGAAATGTCCACCTCCACCATGTCAAACTAAACCCTACAAATAAAGATCAGCAAACAGAATAAAATCTACCTACCAGAGTTGGTGATGTTTATGGATTCATCCCTACTGGGTCACATTAACGTTGTCCTAAAACAGACGTTGTTTCTTTACATTTAATGTACGCTACTCCTAAAATGCACTAACTCCAACTGTTTATATGCTGAGAACACATTCCTTCAGACTTGCAGCTGCGATGATGGAGGACAGCTGGACTGTAGCTGACACTATAATGGGTTTGGCTCATCCTCAAATTTTTACAAACTTTTGTTCTTTTTTTTACTTTTGTTCCCTAAAATCTTATTAAATATTTTAAGTAGAGCTTTATATAGTGATGTTTTAGTGCACAGACTACTCAGTGTTCATCTGCAGTGCCTCTTTTTTCGATTAGTCTGCTCTGCCGCTGACATTTAGACTTCTTGCTCCAAGCATCATGACATGTGACTGGTGTACAGACACCTACAGTGTGCTCCTGAGCACTCGGATTCAATGACTCCACTTGTGCAGCA